ATTTTCTTTATTTATATATTATATATTTTTGAAATAAAAATACTCCACCTTGTACACCAAAAAATTTCTTTAAACCATCTTACGCATGCAGTTTGTTGATCTTATCTTCACGGTTACCGAAATCACCAACCTCAACGTAGTGATTAGCCCTCTTGCTTCTTAAGTCAAGTCTATCACGCAGTTCATTAGCCTCTTATGTAAAATTATCGTGGAAAACTGAGTTTAGAATTTTTATTTTAATTGGAAAAAATTTATTTGGAGGGAAAAAATCGCCAAAATCGCCAATGCCGATTTCCTAAATTTTTACGCGCAAATATCAAAAAAAAATCGTCAAATTGGCGCGAAATAGGCAAATCTGCCCTGCAAAAAACGGCTGGCCGTATCGAAAAGAAACTATCGATTGTACGCTCACATACATATGTGTTTGTACATAAAAAAAAATTTGCAAAAAACCTTTTTTAGCGCTATGTGGATAGAAAAGAACAAAGTTGAGGCCAGTGTGCTTAGACCGACGGTGGAGTCAGTGACTACAGTGCTGAAATACAGTGCAACGCCAACGGGGGACTCCAGCAGAACCTAGGAATGGAGGTAGAAAGACCAAACGGCGCTGAGGCATTTGTTTTTGGCGACGAAAATTCAGACCCAGATTAAAAATGAGAAGAATTGTCTGAGGTCATTGGCTCTGAAAAAGCTTGCGAAATTAAGTTAATATTCGACAATATATTTTTACAAATAAAACAAACACATAAACTAAATCGAATTTTATTTTTTAATTTGGTTTCATGTATTTTTTTATATTTCGCTGCCATTTATTCACTAATTTATTAATTACTTAGAGTTTAGAATAGTGGTCAAAAAATCAGTAATTATTTCGATATTTTCCCAATAGTTTCATCGCTAAACTCATTTGTACATCACCAGCTAGATGACATGTGTGAGCGAGTGAACATACTGTAAGGCAAATGCGCCCGTGTGTGTACAAGAAAGGGATGCACTATCACACGCGCGGAGAAGTGGCCACTTTTTTCCCCAAGCCCATACAAGACTAACCGCTAAACTGACGAAAAGTTTTAGTCAGTTTTCCCTCTAATTTAACCGATAATCATACGTCAGGCTTCTTGCAGGGTGGACACTCTGATAAGTACCAATACGAGTAGGAATCGATACTTTAGGACCGATATTTTTCATGCATCGATGCTTTTTTTCGATACTACTTCCAACTAAAAGTATCGATACCTGCATTGTATCGTTTCATTCCTACAGGTAGTCGAACTGTCAAACTATCGTCGATACTCATGGCGTAATGAACTGAAGGGGGCGCATTCCCGAAACCACTACTTTGGTTTCGCCGCCTTTGACGTTTATGGCAATACGTAAACAAACTTTTTGTTTAGAAACAAGTGCAAACGTATTGCAAACGTATTGTGTACTTTCAAGTGAAAAATCGAAGTATTTCGTGCGTTCTATAGCAAAAAACGTTTTTATGTAATAAAAACATTATAAAAATGTCGTGTCGTGTGGAATTGCAGCAGCCGTAGGGGTAAAGCGGGGCACCGAAATTGCGCATATGGAAACTGTGCATTTAGACATTATTTCGGTTTCATCCGAAACTGTGCATGTA